CCCTTTGGCATCTTTCTAGTAGGCTGCCTTCAGGTACTTACCTAGCACACTGTCTGACCTAGATTAGTTGCTCACATAATTAGATATAGCCAAAAACAGATAAATTACCTGAGCTTTAAATGAGCTCTCTGATCCTGAGTTAGCTCTGAAAGGCAGCCCCTGAACAAACTTACCACACTATTATTTATTTCAGCTAAATAAAACTCTCAGTACTGAAAGCATTGCAGTCAACGTGAGCTAAATCTATTCCATATTTGCCAATTCTCTTAAACGTGGCAGTAACAAATACCCAAGAATAGACAACTTGCTAGACAGCAGTGCTTGTGGGATGATCATTCAACTATCACTTGTGGGTTGTACAACATGCAACTCTGGCAGTGCAGCACATTCAGAGAACTCAAGTGAAGGTTAAACAAATCTGTAAAAACTGATTATGTCAACAACAGCAGTAAACTATTTGGATTTTCATGGCTAATATATTACCTAATCTTCCTAACAAAGCTCATTGCTTTTGCACATAAAACCTCAGCACATAGTTCTTCCAGCAACAGTTGTTTTGTCTCTTCATTTTCTCTGACTCAATAAACTGATCTTAACAAGTTTGTCCAGAGTGGTCCCAGCACAGCATTAAGTGGAACACATCAGCAAAGTGCAGGGGAAAAAACAAACCAACCACAGAACCCACCGGGTGCTAAGCAGGCTTGAGCTTCTGTGCTTGGTGTACACCGTGTGCTTCAGGTCTGTGTACCCACAGCTGTGTTCCTCCAAAGCCTGTGCAATCGCCTCTCTGAGAGGTGGACAGAGCTCATGCACACAAACACGTGGAACACTCACAGCAGACAGAGGATTTCACCTGGTGAGCTAATCCAGAGCACTGCATGGAAAGAGACTGACTTGTCCAACTGCCTCTTGGTTGCAAGTTTACCTCCTCTCCTATGAGCACAGGCTGACAGCTGGGAGTTGTTCAGCTGAAAAAAGAAGACTGGGGAGACCTTATAGCAGCCTCAAAGTACCTAATGGAGACTTGCTAAGACCTGTAGAGACAGAGCAAGGGGAAGCAGTTTTAAGCTGAAAGAGGGGTGGTTTAGATTGGACAGGAGGACATTGTTTACGGTGAGGATGGTGAGTCACCAGAGCAGGTTGCACAGAGAAGCTGTGGCTGTCCCATCCCCGAAAGTGTTCAAGGCCAGGCTGGATGGGGCTTTGAGCAACCCGGTCGAGTGGCTGGCAGATGTCCCTGCCCATTGCCAGAGGGTTGGAAATAGATGATTTTTGAAGATCCCATCCAACCCAAACAATTCCAGAGTTATGGTTGTAGAACCCACTTTCAGGAAGCTAAAATATCTTTATACAGGAAAAACCTAGCTACAGCAAAACAAAACAATCCTTTTACTGAACTAGAGTGCTCCAGCCTAGGATGTAAAACAATTACAAATGTTTTGCCTTGGTTTGACCAAATCTTTTGCTTCAAAGCATGGTATATGCTTCCTACACCTTCCTGTTTGAAAACATGCTGAAGTATAACATGCTGCTGAGCCTGGAGAAGATGAGATTATATTCCCCTTCTATAGGTAATACTGCATCATAGTGTATCAAGATAGATGTAGTGAAGACAACACAGTGACATGAGTTGACCCCAATTATTCCCCCAGAGTGTATTGACCAAATGAGCAGAGTCTGTTCACACCCTACATGACTGTGCTGCCAGAAATAGAAAATTAGCAAACAGCAAGCAGTAAACATGGCCTTGGCACAGGAGGTGTGAGATTGTTGCCAGAGGAGAGGCTGAGGAGTCACTACCAATATGCCAATAGTGCCCAAGTGCAGGCAGCAGCTGCCCCTGTAACCACATGGGGACCAGTGGCACCCCAGACACAGCCACCAGCTGAGGGGGAGTGGGGACATGGCCCTGCAACTTGTTCAGCACTCAGCAGTTAAACCCTGCTGAACAAGGGAAAGAAGCAACATCACTGCACCCCATGACCCACAAAGAGAGTAGCAGAAACAGGCAGGAGTGCTTCCCACCATGATGTGGGTAAGGATATAACTAAGATGCTCAGAAGCTTTGCCAGCCCTATCGGCACTGGCAGAGGAGGTTCTGGCTCCTTTTGTGGCCTCCGTAAGACTTGAAGCTTTGCTTGGGTTGTTAAGGGCCCATGGCAACCTCTGTCTTGCACCATAGGTGCCTGTGAGGGGCAGAAAGCAGGATGGGATCCTTCCCAACCTCTCTGGCACAGATGAGGTCATGATGACCCCCATGGGTCAGCCTGGCTCAGCCATCACCTCACTCTGGCTGGCCTGTAGCTCACATTCACCCAGTATGGACAAAAATAGCACCTCTTGGATTTCACTATATAATCACTTCACATAATCCAACCATAACAGGCAGAAGGGCAGGGGGAATAAATGCTTGTCAAATGAGTTCCCCCTCCCTGCCAGGGCAGGTAGAATCCTTTGTCCATGCTTTCACCCACCTTTACTAGTCCTGGCAGGGAGGATTTCCCTTGGCTTCAGCAGCATGACCACAACAGGCCCAGCTCCAGACACCTGACCTCTCATCAACAGCTCCCATATATTACACAACTTGCCAGGTTTTGTCGTGTAACCCCATGATCTCACAAAGGCTGGTACAGTGTCAACCCATCACAACCCAGAAATTTCTCAAGGAAAATAGCCAGCAACACTAAAAAGCTACAAGCATCATACCAGACAAGTGTAGCCTTAAGGGCAAAAGCGCAGCACAAGACTGGTTCCTGTGTCATCTCATTTTGTGAAAACACCCAAGTTGGAGCTTTTAGGAAGACTGTAAGAATTACTTAAGCTCTCATATGAATCAAATGCTGGTGCAACTGAATTGCAAATATTTATACCTTAAGAAGTACTGGATGTTAAATTTACAAGTATTTTTACTATTCTGTACCTTCTAGGTGTACATATCCCAAAACATCTGACCTTGTACTCAGTGCATGTTGCAGGTTCAGTTGCCAACAGATGGAGGAAAACCAGTGCTGGACCTCTCATAGATGTGTCAGCAGAACCCCTTGGTCACAAACAAAACTGAGGGTGCAGCCCGTTTGTCTCTTCCCAGTCCTCAGGGAAGACTACATACTGACCCTGGAATTTTGTTAATAGCTAAAAGGTTTCTAATTATACACATTTTAAAATACCACAGCTCAGGTGCTGTTTAGTCTCTGACAGACTGGTAGGTGTCTGCAAGCCACTGGCAAACTCAAAAGATTACAACCCTTAGTAGGGCCTGTAGCAATAGGAAAAGGGGTGATGATGTTAAACCATGAAAGGGCAGCTGCAGACTAGATATAAGGAAGAAATTCTGACAATGAGGGTGGTAAAACACTGCAACAGGATGCCCAGTGAGGTGGTAGATGCTCCATCCCTGGAAATATTCAAGTTTCGACTGGACAGAGCCTTGAGCAACCTGATTAAGTTGAAGACCTACCTGCTCAATGCATGGAGGAGTGGACTAGATGACATTTAAAGGTGTCATCCAACCCAAACCTAGGATTATATTATTTAATGCTCAGTGGTTTCTCTCTTGAACCATTCTTCCCCACTACATGTACACTGTGAATTAACTTGAAAGCAGAAAATAAAGCTACTGCTCTGCAGCAATTTGCTCAAGAGAATGTGCTTAAAAAAAAAAGTGCTTTAAATACATTTAGTGATCATTCAATTTATTATTTATTTAGGAATTGTCTCCCTATGTACGAAACAACTGTGATTTGGGTGGGACAGAGAGAGGCAATGACAAATCATATCACCAACCCTTAGTTTTAGAAAATTGTACCAGAGGCATCCAAAGGAAGATGGAGTCCCCACACAAGAGCTTGCAAAACTGAAAATATGCAAAATGTTTGGGGTTGAGTGGTTGGCTGGTTTTGGGAGGAATGGGGGGTTTCAGGGTGGAGGGGAGGATGTTTAAAAACTAGAAGTTCTTCATTCTGTCTCAGTTCAGTGTGAGCTCCTGGGTCACTACGTGCATTCTTTGTAGCTGAGAGGGTTGGGAAACTCAAGGAGCTGTATTAAGCGTTAGCCACTCCTTTTTACTGCAGTCAGGAGAGAAACCATGTACCTCATTATTGCTCCTTCACGGGCCTTTTACTCCACAAAAGGCAGTTTTCTTCCCTTCCTCCAGCATTAGTGGGTTTCACATCAGAAAACACCAGTCTTCACTTCCCTCCAGGTAGAGGTAATTACTACTCCAGGTAGTAATGTCATGCATAGCTGATAAAAATCAAAGCTGCAGCTCTGCCTGAGAACAACTAAGGAGGGGGAAAGGAGACAGAACACAGGTACTGAACACAATGATACCCTTAAAGTCACCAAAAAGAGGTTTTTTTACAAAAATACAGACAAAATAAGATTGATTTCTTCCCCAAAACCACCAAAAGAATTGCAAGAGAAAAACAGAAGGAAAGAAAAAAACTTCCTCCTACAACCTGCAATCAGAACAGCAAGAGGTGGGATACTGCTTGTTAACACATGAAAGCCCAGTATAGAAAAACAATTCTCATTAATAAAGTCTCCAAATCAACAGTACATATCCACAGTGATTTTAATAGTTCAGCTTCTGGATCGTATGCTGTCATGTCTGACATAAAAAGATTACAATTGATTTATTAGTTACAAATATAAATATACCTGGAATTTCTTTTTTTCCTTAAGAATAAAAAAAGTACCGCATGTTCAATCTTCCAAAGTTAGAATCATAAGGGAAAAGAAGATCATCATATGAAAGTGTTCGAGTACACAAACAGATCATTTACATGCAACATGAAATGGCAAGTCACTAAAAATCAGAATCTTTCATCTCTGTCCAAATGATTGTCACTACCCACCGTCATAACACACCATTTGTCTTCAGAGCCCAGGGAAACTGGCAAGTCTTATTCCATAATTTCACTTGCATTCCCATATTTTTATACACACAGCTTCCCAGAAGCCTTTAATGGTCAGAAGATTTCTTTCTTTTTCTTTTTTTTTTTTTTTTTTTTTTTTTTTTTTGCATACACCATAATAATCTATTTATTCCTTGACTTTTCCTTTTTGGTCAACTGCAAGCAGTTCTTATTCCTCATTTTGCTGGAGTGAAAAATCCCTCCCCTTTTCTATGTCACACAGATGGTTCAGGAACAACAACCTGATTTTGTCCTTTTGGCTGGCTTGTAGTCTGTGATGTCTACGGTTTGTGGTGGCCCCTCAGCTTTCTGCCGTACGATTATTGGGACTACCATGTCAAACACAGTTTCAAAGAGGTAGTCCACCTTGTATCCTGTCTTTGCACTGGTCTCAAAACACATTTTCTCAGCTGCTGGAACATCCTTCTCATCTAGCATTTTGTATTTCAGTATCTTTTTATAGAGCGCAATTGCATCCTCTGCACGGACTTGTTTCCGCACCTTTGAGCCACAGCTGGCACCAGACTTCTCGGGTCTATTTTCATCCGGTGGTACAGTACAGTCATCACTGAGGTCAACTTTATTTCCAACAATAGCAAAAATGCAGTCAGCACTCGCACTGTCCGTCAGTGCCAAGAATCTTTCTTCCAGCTCTGTCAGGCTTTGGAGGCTGTTCACATCGTACGTGAGGATCACAGCAGCCGCTCCTCTGCAGTACATAGACCCGAGGCCATGGAACTGCTCCCGCCCTGGCAAAGGTTTAAACACAACAAATGTTAGTGTGCTGGAAAGCACATCATTAACCAAGAGAGCTTAAGGAATTTTAAACCAATTTCACAAGTCTGGATGAAGCAGTGAAAGTAAAAAAATCTGTTATTTGTAGCACTTTCAGGTTTTTCCTTCTGTTTTTCCTTAAGACCAACAATGCCACAGAACAGCTCTGCTCACTGCTTGCTCAGTGTCAGAAAAGGGAATCTGTAGAGACAAGTGAACAAGGAAGCTCATGCAGCATTCATACTTGCAGAGAGAAAAAAAACCCAAAAACTGGCTTCTTTTTTATTAAATTGCATGCCAGTTGATTTATGTCATATTAACTACTACCCTGCTTGCACCCACAGATGGCCCATCCATCTACGTCACCATTTACAAACAAAGTTCTACTGGTTCAAGTTCTGCTAGAATTTATTCCTCCTATAAATCCAGCATGCATTTTCAAGTACATCTGCTTCAGAAATCTGTATCAAAATCAGTAATCCACTTGTTCCTAGGTTTTGAAGGATTTTGTAAGCTATACATTCTGATGCGACATGCCCACAGTTCTCAGGTACATTTGCTTTACAGGAGAAGTCTCTTATGGTATCCAGTCTGCATCTGTCCCAGTTTTCACACATTTTTTTTAGAGTAGGAAACACACAATATACAGAAAATCCTAATACATTCTAAGAGAAATTTATCTTTTAAGTTGTCCTAGCCATTGCTCAATAGCCAACAGTGAAAACATTTCTTTCTCCTCATTCAGGGACTATTTTCCAGCACCTTCAAGTAAGCCTTGATGGTGTCCTTCAGCTTCATTTCTTGGAAGACAAAATTGACTCTTTAAATCCTTGCTGGGAAGCAAACAATGCTCTTCAGTAGTTGCAACAGGACTAGGGGAAATGAGGCAGAAGATACACTCTGCTTCCTATTGACAACTGCTACTTTCCCCAAATACTTGCTACCTGTAGAACATGCTGTACATTTTACTGTCCAAAACTGAATCAAGGAAAAGATAAAACACTCTAGATTTCAACCAGCCATCAGAGTCAGCCTTAGGTCACAACATAAGTGTGAACAAAGAAAGAAAGAAAGAAAAAAAAAAAAAAAGAAAAAGAGTCAATGACACACTTATGAATGTTTAAAAATCAACATAATTTTCCAACTCTTTTCACACAATCCCTTTGCACTCAGCCTTCATTTATAGAAAATCTGGAAGAGATCTAGTTACATTCATCTGCACAAAGCTACTGACCACCATGAGCTATTTCATCATCATCAATGATTCATCATGAAACCCTTGGAAATGACTGGAATAGGAAAGGCAGAAGAAACTAGGAAAAAAATAGGAAAGGCAGGTCAGCACGCGTTGGGAAAACACATCTGCACATGAACATGCACACTGTGAGAGAAACCCAGAATCTGCCTCCAGTTGGGAACAGAGCAGGCACTGCAGTAAGTCCTTCAACAAGCACCAGGACTGTACTCCACAGCTGCCAGAAGAGAGACAAACTGTTCATCATTATCAGTAAGCAAATCTTGGAAACCTCAAGCTAGAACATGAAATCCAAATCTCATTGCACTTTTATCACCGAGTGAAGCTCTGGTAACTGCCAGAGAAATAGGTTTGGAAAGGTGCGGAGTTCACTATCAAGAGGGGTAAAGGAAGCTGGTGAGAATGCTCAGAAGTATGTGAAACATATGCCTACAGATTCAGGCCTAATGCTGAGAAAAAAATAAGTAGTTGTTCCTTGGTTACTTTCTTGTCACAAAGAAAATGAGGATTTCACATCAAAAACATGTGTAATTTAAATACTTTCCCGAGAAGTGAAAACCTGGTAACAGCAGTCATATCACATTGCAGAGGTCAAAAGTTCGATTAATGGCATTCAGAAAATCATTAGGCAAAGTTTACAGAAAACTGCTTCGGTGCAATTTTGTATAGCCTCTGATCTGCCTTCCCCCAGCAATAGAAATTCTTTCACCCATGATCTGGGAGGTAGGAAAAAAGGATGTTTAAGAAAAAAAAGAACAGCTATAGCCTTGTTTAGGTATGTTGAGTAAGGGCAAGGGAGACTGGGATACAGGGGAGGGAGGAGGTCAGTTCTTTTATGCTTTTTATAATCCAATCTCATGTTACAGTTGTACTTTCAGTTGCACTGCATCTGAGTCTTTTAAATGTCCCCAGTTTTTCAATAGAAGTTTGCACCATGACCGATTTTGTTCTCACCAGAACCCTGATTATACTGTGGTCTGGAAACCACAATGCAACATGTATCTCCCCCTGTTCTTGCACTTCAGATGCCTGAGCCATAAAATGCAGCCCCCAGAATCGTTTGCTGCAGCAACCAAGCACCAGAACAATACTATTACTTGTTTTATGGCATTTGTATGCTAATCTAATCTTGCACAGCATAATATAAACCATGACACTTTTACATGGCAACTACCAACTGACTACTTCTACAATTAATATATTGTTGAAAGGGGGAAAGAAACATTAAGAATTTACCTTGCATAAGGGATTAATTATATCAAAGGAATTACGGAGAGTCTCCTTTGCTCACCCTCACAGCACAATCAACATGCAGAACAAACTGCATAATGTATTTCTGCAGCAGTTTCCTTGTACAGACCAATTCTGACACTTAAGGGCTGAAACAACTCTAAATATGGAAAAAAAAAACCAAAACTACACAAAGTATTTAAACTAATATCTATCCTCAAGGTGTCAGGCAAAACAGTATCAGACATTAGGGTGAAAAACTTACGGCGTAAGAACAGCCACTTATAGCCACTTACTTCTTCCTCTGGACCCATCCAGTCCACAAACACATATTTTTTTATATAATTAGTTAAATTAAATGGTAAGCCCTGAATCCAACAATTAAACGTTTTTGCCTTTTCAAAAAATAAAGGTAACAGAAAAGAGTGGCAGAACTATCAAATAATTTGCAGTCAAAGGAATTGCAAGAACCACCAAATCAACCACAAAGGCACAACATCAGGGAAAATTCTGAAAAGCAAGCAACCAAAAACTAATTTTCATTTTCTTTTCATCTTTATTTTGCTGTGTTCAGAGCAGTTCAACAACCCTACAGCTGTATCCCCATCTGCAGCACCATTAGCTTTCCAAAGGTCTTCCATCAAGTATACAATTTGTCTTCCTGTTGGAGACTTCAGCCACTCAGAGGCAGCACAACCAACAAGCATTTTCAAAGTCCTGTGATGGTTGTCATACACAAATCAAAGAGTTTTGAGCTAAATAGACCTCAGTTCCATAAAGTTCATAATGAACCTAACAAAGAAGGGAAAAGCAGACCTTGCAAGAGGCCAGCTTGACAAACAGGCAAGGCGAGATTTTAAGTGTACGAAGAACTTAAGGCCTCCTACTGCACTTTGAGCTCTCAGTTGGAAGGCAGCAGACCCTGTGAAAGCTGTCTCTGGATGAGACCACAGCACGTCCAGGCATCCCAATCCCTTCCCAGCCATGGGATTCACTCAGTGCTGCTCCTGGAGCTCTCTGCCTGCCCATGGCCCCTGAGGGTGTATCCAAAATAGCCCCTGAAGTTGCTGTGGATGTTTATGAGAACAGAAGCCAGAATGCTCCTTACCTACCACCTCTTCAAAGAGGCTTTCACCATAACTTCTGAGGTGGCACAGCTTCACACAGACACACTCTTTCAAGAAAACCTGTCCCTGAAGAAGTTTTAAATCTATCAGTGTTGAGCACGTAGAAGAATGCAAAACAGGCTGTTAGTTTCAGTCTGAAGGGAATAAAACACAACGAATATTAAAGAGCTAAAATGGTCTTCAATAAAGTACTGAAAAAAGTACTGTTTCTATTCTGATATCACAGTCTGAGTGGCAGCATAACTCAGTTCCTAAGGTAAATATGTAGCAGGGAAAAGCACACAAAGGTAGGCTGCAGAGGCATGCTACCATTGCATTAAAATTGCACAAGACTGCAGAATTGTCCAGGAAGTGCTCAGTCTATAAACCAGGTACATTCCAAGGATTTTCACTGTGATTTGCGCAGTACTGTAATCTGAACAGTAGAGAGGAATTAACAGAAACACAAGGTATCAGCTAGGTTTTGTCTTTCAGATTCTCCTTCTGCTTTATAGGAGTCTGAACCCGAGTGTACACGGAGAGGGATAGGAACTGTACCCTAGGGGAACAGCTAGAAGAGGAAAGAAAAGAGGAAGTATGACATCCATGACACAGCACAGAAACCAGCATCAGAAAGAAATGAGCTCTGAGGATTCAGCTGCAGTAGATGAAAGTTCAAAGGGTGACCCTTATGCTCTTGAGTTACCTCAGCAGGAACATCCTTGCGATCACAAGAGTAGACAAAGATCCCTTTTGAAAAGGAAACAACATTTCTTTCTGTTTGCAGACAAGACAGTAAAGCTGTGTCCCTTTAAAGGACATCAGGGGAAACAATTTTGCCAGGAACAGAGATTTCTATTTGTGCACATATCCCAAGATATGTAATGGCTATTAAAGAACAGTAAAGGTCTCTAAAGGTTTCAGGAAAATTCTCCTGCCCACATATGAGTCAGGCTGTCAAGTTTTGACAGTGATGAAGTCAGTTCTTCATTACTTTGTTCAAGATTGGTATTTATTTCTTGTAGGTGGCTTTATCATATTTCCCTTGAAGACAGGAGCTTTGTTAAGAACTGGACTACACCTGTGGTTACTTGGGGAAAAAAATTAAGCTCTCCATCCCAAAGGATTAACAAAGAGGACATAAGTAGAAATTAGCAGAAACGTAAGTCACAAAGCTATGGAGAGTCCAATTTCTACATGTCCAGGAGCTGTCTGAATACATGATTTCCTGATCTGCCAGAAAAATGCCAACGTTTGTTTTTTCTTCAAGACAAAATTCCCCATAGAATGAAAGTCTTTGAGAGGGAGAAAAACTAAATAATTAAACAAACAAATACAAACAAACTAAATACTCCACCACAACACCCCCTACCCTTCCCCAGAA